AAATTAACACAAAATACAAACAAAATGTTTGAACCATCAATGGATACAGCAACCAACATCAAAATGTTCGAGACTTTTGATGGCAGAAAAATTGCAAACAGGATAAAGTCAATGATCAATATGAAATTGTAAACGTTGATTATCACAAACACAATATACCAAAAAGGTAAAAACAAACAAAAAAAAAATCATCATATCAGTTATTGATCAAAAATTGTTTTGGATTCTAGACCCACATGGAAAGCCAACCTTAACTTATTTCCAGCATAAAACGTGGGGAAATGTCAATTCTTGTTCACAAATTCACCTCAGCAAGTCTAAGCAATAACCCAAATTACCATATTTAAAACCCTAGAAATTAAAACAGCAATTAAAGCACCAGATGACATGGATTAGGGAGGTATCTGTCAAAAATCTAAACATGATTTGAAGCTTGAAAATTTAAATCAATCGTTTCAGTAACAGCAAGAGAGATTATAATTAGAACCGAAACCATAATCAATGCAATCAAGAAACCGCATCAATTTCATAGCCAACTGCAAAATGAAAAGGGATTTATAAAAGCTTAAACCTTGCTTTTGCAAAAGCTTCATCAAGAAGGGATGGGATCGGACGTCAAGGTAGTCCCCTTGGAAGTCTCTGTGAAAGGAGGCTTTCCGTCTGACTTTGATTCCCATGAACGGTTCCTGGTCTTCGGTGACATTGTTGTTGGAGGGTCTGAATCGCATTCCGTTGGGTTCTTGGGCAACGCCTTCCGAATCGTCGATTTGGACTCGCCGCTGTCCCCTGTATCGGTCCATTTCCAATCGATCGAGGCGGCGAGTCTGAATAGGTAACTCAGCGTGGTTTTGGAAAGCGAAAGGGAGGCAGTGCTGGAACCAGCTCTTTCAATTCAGGTGTGCCGACTGCCGCACCATGTGCTCTATTTTATTTTATTCACTTTTCAATTAAATAAAAGAAAAAAAAATTGTTTTTTTGATTTTTTTCCTTACAGAAAAAATAAAAATCAAAAGGTTAAGATCCTCCATCCTAATCTGATGTTTGAATTTAGGAGAATGGAGGAGAGAAAAAGAGAGATAAATCAAAGAGAGAAAAAGACAGTTAAGAAAATTTGTATTTTTTTATTTTTTTAAAATAAATTAATAAATTAAAATAAAAAATAAAGTAAAAGACTCTATTTTCCTTTTCTCTTTAATTTTTTTACAATTAAATAAAAAAAAATTTTCTCCTCTATTTCTCCTCAACTCAACATATTGGTAATTAAGATTTAATAGCATGGTTGGATTGAAAAGAACAGATGGAAAGGAAGAGAAAATTTTCTAATTAATTAAATTATAATAATTTTTAAATATTATAATATAATTAATTAAAATTTTCTTTTCTTTTCTATTGCTTTTCAGCCCAAATTCACTACAACTCTTTATATTTTTAATAAGAGATGTACTAATTTAACGTGTACAATTCCTTGTGGATGAGCAATTTGTGATCTTTATTATAAATTTTCACTAAAACTTGATAATATATCTTGATTTTAAATTAAGTAATTTTTTTCTCGAAACATTTTATTTCCTAGTATCATAGATAAAATAATTTATTTAAGTAAGAAAAAGATAATTATATATATATATAAAAGATGTGCTACGTGCTTTCGGTGTAGATCATAGTACCTAAGCACTTATCTCCTTATACGTTTTTTTTTATTAAGAAAATGATTTAGAAATAAATTTTTTATTTTTTTTATAATTTTATATATTAATTTATTTAAAATTTATAATATTAAATATATATTTAATAATATATAAAAATTATATAAAAATATTACAAAAAGTTATCTTTATATTATTGACTTTTTTTTTTCTTTCAAAAAGTTTTTTATATTTTTTTGGTTTTTTGACCGGCATCCGGGTCGAACTGACCTAATTGGCGCACCCGATAGTGGGTTAAGTTTTCCAACAAAAATTACTGCGTACACAAAATCTCAAATTTAAAATTTTATTTAAACTGAAACAAATCGCATATTACTTGATTCAATCTCTCTCGTTGATCTTTCGAAAAGTTCTCTAATTAAAAAACTCTACACTCGAGCCTTGCAAAGCCCAAGTGCTAGCTGAATTCGGCAATGTGGATACCGATTTTCATTGGACCTGTTTGGTTAGAGGGAAGTTTATAAATTGTTCATAAAATTAATAAGTTTAGTGATAACATTTTGTTAAAATTTTATTACATCTCTAATTTTTAAAAATATTTTCAAACTTTTCTTGTCAAAGGAAAAATCTAATTAAACGAGGTAGTTATTATTACATATAAAAATATTAAGTTACTAATAAACCTTTTATATCACACATATTTTTAATATTTGTTTTTAAAATATTAATTTAATTTAATTTAAGTATTAGAAAAGTTTATAACTGAATTTATTATCTTATACAAATAAGAAAATAATTGATATTTAAGAAAAAAATAAGACATTTGAATATCAAAAATATCAGAATATATAATTATAATTATTAAATATATGAAGTATAATATGGACCATAACTTTATTAAATTTATTATATAATTATTATTAAATATTTTGTCATTTTTAATTTCAAAATATTTTAATTTTTCTTTCTTGCTTGATATTGGTATGCCATACATTTTGGCAATAACCATACTCAAATAAAAATAAGAATTGTTTAATCTATATCTTAAAAATATAAATTAAAA